CTTGTTTTTATTTAAATAATTTGTTTTTAGGACAGCTTGACGCTGCAGTTTCTGTATCGACATGATGTAAGTTAAAAATCCCTTCACTTTTGCTTATAATTTGCTGTAAACTTTTTGAGAAGATATGAACATCACATGTGCATTTGTATCGGTTCTAATTTTTCTAACCAATTTCTTAGCAACCCGGCTGCGTATCGACTAACCGATGACATAGAACCTAGTTTCAATATGCGCCTCATTGAAGCAGTCAAGCACAGTCGTTGCCTCTATGATTCTACGGATCGGCAATACCGAAGTACGGAGTACAAAATAAAGGTGTGTTTCAATCTTGTGTGAATCAAAGAAAAAGTCTGATGTTTCAAAAAGGTATGGAATCGGCTTGTACAAGTTCTCGGCTTTGATGGAGACTCAAGGACCCTGTATGCTAGGTGGAAGCAGCTGCGAGATAAGTGAGAATTCTTCGAATGTACACAATTAGCTAGTTTTTCTGGAATGCATGCTTTTCTTTGTTACGCCTTTACATGGAGTTTCGACTCTTGTGTAGAGATCAGCGGAGCACCTGACGGTTTTGTCTACTTACTGGCATTATCGCTACATATTCTGAATCTTGCTTGACACCAAGCAAACCTTGCTTTATATATGTTTCAATAATTTTTTTGAGCTGATTGAACAATTTAAAGCGAGAAAGATTGAGCCTGCTTTCGTAGACATGATCCAAATTACCTGGTTCGTACTATTTTGAAAATGTTCATTGCAAAAATAACATTTTTTCGTTGACTTTTTGAATCTAGTATTTTTTCTCCAACTATCTCTTTCTAATACATCCCCGGAAGCTAATCGAGAATTGTCAGCTTGTATCCGTGTGGTTTTAAATAAAAGGGCTATCCTGTTTTTGACACAACAGTAAAGGTTTTAAAATTTCAGGTATGGAAAAGAAAAGCGAAAAGTCAAATACCAAGGTGATCAGTCCACCTGGCAGTATTACAAACATCTTTCGTTCTTGGATCCTCACATGATAGATCGACAGTCGGTGGAATCTCCTGCTAGAAAAGAGCATCCCGATGTGGTGAGTGTCTTTTCATCTGCTTCTTCATTTGGCATGGTCACTAGAAATGCATATTTCTTTCCAGCAAGTAACTGTAACAGATCCGTCCTTCGGCACTAATTTGATTGAAGAAGTCCGTTCTCATCCGTGTCTCTTCGACATCCGTGATCCTAAGTACAGGCATTCTGAATGTCGCAATCAAGCTTGGCACAATGTTATTGCGCATCTGAATTATCCAGGTGTGTTTATGTGATTACAGATGTAACTCATCACATTCGAAGATCACAGAAGTGAGCTAAGCACCTTTTTTGTGCACTTTATTTTTTTAACGGTGTTATGGTTTCTTCTAACAGTATTATTGTTTTTCACTCAACTGCATTGTCAAACATCTAATTCGATAGTTTTGGAGAAGTTTCTTTTTTATTTGAATTTTGTAGATAATAATGGCAAGATTCCAATCAGAACTCAATTGCTGACTTTTGTATGGCATTTGTGTTGCTTTTGAGATTTAAGTGAGGAGGGTACTAGCTAAGTCTGACAAGGTTACTTTAGTGTTGCAAAATCTACAAACCACGTAGGTAAAACCAGTAAAAATGCTGTTAGGTTCTAATGTTCGGCTTTTAACCTTGTGCATTTCAAG